CGGGGTGTAGCCTGCGCGCCGCCGTCTGCTTCGTGCCGCGGTGTGTCGGCGGCTGCTGCTACTAAGCTAACTTTGTGATTTTCGCTAATCGTCATGACTCAAGTGGTGATTCGTACAGTGGTGTCGTCTTTGTAAATTCTGAAATTCTTACTAGATCACCTGATTTGGCTGAATGATCCCTATGTTTGCATGGTGTTTTTTTTCCTCAGCTGGGATGGAGATTCTATGATGCCGACGATTATCATTCTCTGGAGAATAAGAAGAAGATGGCAGAAGGGATACCGCTAAATGATGAGGTATCTTGTATAACCCTGAAAGAACAGACATCGGCACGTTTGTCTCTTAACTTCTGGCTTATCATGTTAAAGAAGATTGTGTTTTATGTAGGCTAGGCTGACTGTAAGCATAGGCTGAATGTATAGGTCTGCAGTTCAGAAGAGGATGGAGGCTTTTGTGTTATAAAGGATTCTGCATAAAAGAGTAGTTCATCAAAGTGTGCTTGGTAGCTCACAAGGGGTTTGATGCCGATCCAGGATTTGTCACATCCATATAAGAGGGTTGCAGCTCTAGCCTACATGCTGCTTCTTTGAGTTAAATACATAAACACAGACAAGATACCTTTACTGAAATACATTTCATCACTTTCAGTTACTGCAGAGATTATTCCACAGTCTTCTGTTTTATATGCTCTCACTTCGCATGTGCTTCTTTCCCTTCAGCCTGCTGTTCAGCCTAAACAGATAAAAATGATCGTTTAGTTTTATAAAAAAAGTTCAGAGACTTGAGTAAATTAGAAAAGTTACAAGATGATAGTAAATCTCTAGAAGCATGAAGCTGAACTAGGGAGCTCTTCAAAGCACTCTCTATAGACTGAAAAAAAAATAGATTCTTGTTAAAGGCTTTAATCTTTCACTAGCGGTTGGAAATTCATACAAATCAGTATGTTGTGTAAAGCAACACTGCACAATTGAATGACTAAACCATACGGTGCCCAGCAAGAAGGAAGCATCTCTTCTGAAACACTGGAGATGCAAAACTGTGAGGGCTATCTTGAATGCCAGTGGAAAGTTATTCTATAATGATGATAACAAAAAATTGTTGTCTTTATTGTGCTCATCCAGAAGTAACAGTGTTGAAAGATGAAATGGGAGCAATTGTTTAGTGCCCACTAGGTATGACAAAAGTAGGAGCTTAAAGTTTTGAGTAAGACTGTAACTAGAAGCTGAGCAGTCACTCATGTTGTGTTTGCCAAACTACTGAGCAAAAGTGTTGCAAAACTGTGGCTATGATTACATTTACTTCTGATTGCTACTGACATAAGAATGATATAATTCAGTTACTGCAGCTAACTAAATTTATATCTGTCTGTTTCTGAAAACCTCAACTTTGATCCAAAGCATTGTGTGTGTATGCCCAAGGTGAAAAGAAAAAGAAATAACAATTCAGGCTGTACATGTGAATTGTGTAATAGAAGCAAGAAGGAGGTTGACTGTCTTTCAAAAGTTTGAGGTGCATGCTACACATTAATACATACTATGATCACCAGATACTTGTAGATATCTGTAATATAAGAAGTACTATTCCACTAAAAACATTTTATTGATAACATGCCTGGCACTTCTCATTAGCCTTCAGGCAGTGGTAGCAAATCTACATTAGGAAGAAGAAGAATCAAAACTCAACTTGCTGTATCGTTTAATGCTAACTTTAATTTATAGTCACATGCTCTAGATGTTAGAAAAGATTGTTTCAAATCAATCTCATAAACAATTTTGAACTACCTTCTTTTCTTTCTAGGACAGGATTCCCTGGCTTTGTGCATTGCATGATGTACTAAGGAGGTAAGAGAACATCTAGCTTTAAGGAGTTTGGGGTAAAGACAAAAGAAGTAACAAAAGTATTTTTCTCCATTGCATTCCAAATCAGAAATGTATGTAGTAGTGTAAAAACATTCTGTGGGTAGTAAAGGCATTCTATTTTCAGTAAAGTGAGCTGTCATCATAATTGCTGAGGGTGAGATGATCCCTGCATAATAGCATTGCAAAAATTGTTGCCAATGATAGTTGTTTTTCTACTGTCTGTGTAAAAATAATTTCAAGGATCCACTTCAGTAATAAGCCTGACATTAGCTACTTACAAAAGACATAACCACAGAATACACTGATAATGACAGTAGGATAAAATTTTGTAAAATACTGTTAGTTTGAGTAAGACCATGGTGTCAAGTTTGCTTGACACCATCTGCCTTAGCATACACATAGAGAACCTGATGGAAGTAAGGACTGGATGAGCAGATGGTGAGGTGTATTGAAAACTGGATGAACAGCCAGGCACAGAGGGTGTTGATCAGTGACACGAAGTCTAGCTGGACGCCAGTAACGAGTGGTGTACCCCAGGAGTCAATAGCTGTCCTGTCCTGTTTAACATTTTCTTTAATGAGCAGGATGCTGGGGCAGGGTGTACCCTCAGCAAGTTTGCAGATGACAGCAAACTGGGAGAAGTGGCTGATCCAGAGGGACCTTTCACGGGCTGGCAGGAACCTCATGAAGTTTAAGAAAGTCTTGCCTCTGGGGAGGAAGAACCACAGGCACCAGTACATAAATAGGGGTCACCCAGCTGGAAAGCAGCTTTGCAGAAAATGTCGGGGGGGGGGCCTGTGGTGGACACCCAAGTTGAATATGAGCCAGCAACATGCTCTTCTGGAAGGCAGACCAGCGATACTCTGGACTGAATTAGACACAGTTATTGCCAGAAGATCGAGGGAGGTGATCCTTCCCCTGTCCTTGGCACTGGTGAGGCCACACGTGGAGTGCTGTGTCCAGTTCTGGGTTCCCCTTTATGAGAGAGCCTGGAGAGCGTCCAACAAAGGGCCATGAAGATGGCAAAGGGACTGGAGCATCTCCCAAAGGAGGAAAGGCTGAGAGAGCAGGGACTGTTTGGCCTGGATTTACACGAGGTCATTGCTTGCTTGTGTGCGTCAGGTGAAAACATCATTGGAGCATGAGAAATTCAATGAGAAATTTGTCTAAATTTTCATGCTGGGTACATTGCTTTGTTACCTGCTAGCTCAAGGCCACTGCCCATCTAAAGAAACTTTGCAAAATAAAGTATACTTTAAAAGACACTAATACCAGTGTTTAATTACTAGTACTTATGAGTAGCTGAGACTGTCATTGGCTTACCTAGGTGATAATTGTAGGTATTTTAAGTTCTTATTTCTCAGTGAACCAAAATCTGATGATCATAGCATGATTTTTAAATAGGTTTATACCTGATTTTACTTTGTTTACAGAATTGCTGCATTTAAGGTGATGAACTGATTTGGTAAGAGATGAATCCCCTTGCGTTCTAGCCAGTCCTCAGAAACTAGAGGGGCCAGGGGTGGCTGGACTTACCTCTTAACAAGTATGCCAATTATGGCCATAACTATAGGCCTGATGCCAGATGCACAAACAGCCCGTATGCTGTAGATCTGGTTGCACTCAAGAGAAGCAGTCAGATTTACAAGTAGTACGGTTTATTCTCATGCAAAATCTGCAGATTCTTTAAGATTGCCTGTGATAAATGCACAAACTGCAGCTTGGCTATATAGCACCACACACAAAAGAAAAAACGATTGCAATTGCACACACTTAATTCCCAGGTAAGCACTCGGCATAGCCAAGGGCTCAAATTTTACCAAAAGGCATCCTTGGGGGGGGGGCGCAAGGTGCACAAACCTATTGATCTGTCCCTCTGATTTGGTATCAGATTATCGTCCCTCCAAGTTAGATACAAACTCGGGGTAGTATTTATCTAAGTATGTATGTGTGAGTAGAGTGGGTGAGACTGTGGTCAAGCCGTTGTTTCTTGAGTAACAGCACAGCACATTCCTTGGTGTGAGGATGAAAGAGAGACAAGGTTGGTGGAGTACTGCAAAACAGTCCTTGAGAGAAGGAGAGGAGCAGGAGATACATCTGTCCTTGAGATAAGTAAAAACAGGACCGTGCAGCCTCCACCTTGCTCCACATTTCTCCTTGGCGCCACAGCAACACAAATCACTGGATCTCCATCTCGTCCTGTGTTTGTTCCAGGCACCATGTGTCAAGGAAATGTGTGTTTTACAGATTTTTTGCTGTTTTGCTTTTCCCACGCTTCCAGTAAGAATGTATTTTCTTAGGCAGGCATTTTAGTTACTCTTCTGCAGTGACTGAACTAATTCTATATTTGCTTGTCAGTGAAACAGAGGCACCCATGGTTTAATGCCTGCTTTACTTTAAGAAACCTTACCCGTAAAAAATACATGTGCAAGGCATTAATTTACCTTCATCCAATCCCTTGTTTAACTTGAAGTGGGCATATATGCTGTGCTGTCAAGGAGTATGGTTACAGCAAACAAAACATGGTTAAATCTGAGAGTGAAAACAGGTGTTAGAAGTATACATATGTATGTATTTAAGAACAGAACTCTACAGTTCAGCAGCCACTTGCTCTCTATAGACAGATTAGTATAGTAATTTTATATATAATGGGTGGGAGTTTGTATGGATATTCAGTTGCTGCTGTTTTCAGCAATTAAGGAAATGATCGTGACACTTCCTTGTGCTAGAAGTGAATTTAATTTAGGAAAGAACAATGGCTAATAAAGAAGGTCTCCAAGATTGAGATTTTATCAGGAGGATAGCAAGCCTGACCTCACTTTCAAATCATACCTTTACCTGCATCAGAAATTTGTTTTCAAAATCCTGTCAAAATTACAAAAAAATGCCACTACTCCCAAGGATCCAGGGCTTGTCTACCTTGTTCAGCATAACTACTGAGCCATTTTATTATAGCACATGTGGATGTTTGTTTGGTTTGGTTTGTTTTTTCTTTTTGGTAGGGAAGAGTCATTTAGACAAGCTGCTGTTCTGGCCTGTTCTGCACTGAAGAAGATGTATCGGCGTGTGTTAGTTAGTGGAGCATCTGCAATTGAAGGCAACCAGCCAGAGCAACCAGGAGAAGTGGAACTGAAGATCCTCTTTGTTCATTTGGATGGGCCTTTCAACATCATTGCTAGCCGCCTGGAGAAGAGAGAGCATTTTATGCCGCCTGAGCTTCTCAAGTCTCAGTTTGATACTCTGGAGCCTCCTAGCACACCAGAAAACTTTATTACTGTCAGTCTAGAAAAATCTCTCCCTGAAATAGTACTGGAGATTGAGAGTGCCATTTTTCAGGGTGAGGCTCTTCTGGACTAGGTTTCTGAATTACATGTACAGAAATTCCTTTAAGCATATCAAAGATTTGAAACAGCATTTTAATTATTCTATTGACTATTAAACCAACTTATTTTTGCCACTATTTAAATGAGTTGCAATATTAAGAGCTGGTATACTCCTCCTGGTGGCTTTATCACAGCTCTGTAAAAGACATATAAGATGAAATTATCAAAAACAGTCAACTCCTTGAACCCTTCACCATCTGAAGTTAAAACTCCCATTTTAGGAAGAGCCTGCTTTTGAAAATCCTGCCAAGGGTCACAAACTTCATTTTAATTACTATGTCAGACAGGGATATTGGCACATCTACTGTTAGGTGATGAAATAACTTACAGTTCTGTTAGAAACAATACATTTCAGGCAAGAATACGCATGATGTTCTGTGCCTGATACTGCCAATGCCTCACTGCCAGATTTTCAACAAGTTGTAGCTTCTGTGTTGGTGTTCTTGCTAACTTCACAAAAGCACATGTGCCCTCATGAGAGCTTTTATGAACCTCTGTTGTAGGCAATGAATACCAAACTCAAGAAATAAGGTAGTTGTGGTGAGGCAATATACAAAATATAATTGTGTGGAAATCCTTAGAAATAAAGTAGAATTGGCATCATATTGGCTCCAAACTTGAATCTTTTGTGTACGAAGCATACCCATTAATGAAGTGCAGTGAAGGATGAGTCAGCTAGTGATCTAAGATACTGAATACAAGAATGATAGATGTTTTTTTCTTTTAGAAAAACTTAACATCTTCCACAGGTGGGGCCTTTTTCACTTGTGTGTTCTGGTATGCTTTAGTCTTCTACCTCAGCCAATGACTAGTCCAATATATGCTTAGGGATAGGTGTTCATACAACTGCTTTAAAGCTCGAGATCAAACTATTTCTAATTGTTGTGGTTTGAGCCCAGAGGGCAACTGAGCTTCATGTAGCTGTTCACTCATCCCTTCCCCATTAGGAATGGGAAGGAGAAAATGAAGTAAAAGGCTTGGGAAGAAGATAAGAACAGAGAGGGGTGGCCCACCTATTACGGTTATGGCCAAAAGACAGATTCCTTAGAGGAATTTAAAAAAGAACATCACTTTAATTCAAACACTAACAAAAACAACAGTGGAACAATGAGAAGCATTCTACAAACTCCTCCCCCACATCGTAAAAACACCTTCACCCACGTCTCCCTTCTTCCTAGGCTCAGCTCTGCTCCAGATCTGTCTTCGCCACAGCAGTGCAACAGGCAGGGAATGGGGGGTGCTGTCAGTTTGCCATTTCTTCTACCTCAGAGAGCAGGGGGGAACTTCCACACATTCTTCCATTGCTCTACGTGGCTCCCCTCTCATGGGCAAGGGTCCTCCATAAACTTTCTCTGGCGTGAGTCCTTCCCACAGGATGCAGTTGTTCCCATGCTGCTCCAGTGTGGGCCACCCCCACATGCTGCAATCCTCCCATCACCAAACTACAACACTGGGGCTGCTTTTTTCCCTGAGTCCCAGCCTCTTTTAAATGCAGCAGCCTGCTCTGGTGTGGGGCCCTCCACAGGCTGCAGGTCAGCATCTGGTCCACTGTAGAGCCCCCTGGGTGGCAGGGGGGCGGCCCTGCCATCTCACCACGGGATGCGGGGCGGCTCTCCACCGCTGCACCTCCCTCTCTTCCACTGACCTCGGTGTTCACATAGGCGTCCTCGTAACTTCCACACAACTCCCCTTCACAACTCCAATTTGTCCTCTCAGGTTCCCCTTCTTAAATACATTATCACGGAGGTGCAGGCACCATCACTAATTGACCTGGCCTTGGTCAGGTCTTGGAGCTGGGGGAGCTTCAAGAAGCTTCTCACAGGGGCCACTGCTCTAGCCCCCTTCTCTGCTACCAAAAAACCCTGCCACACACACAAACCCAATGCAAGTGTAATTTTCACCTAGATAACTAGCTGGAAAATGGTTGTCTTGGGTCTCATTTTGTGAGTAGAAGGCTTTGTGGTTTACTACACAAACTACTGTGCTTAGCTCAGTGCAATAAATGGGCATCATCTGACTGAGTGGGCATTTTTAGATACAAATTTGGGACTGTAAACATTAACACATGTCCTGGTTTCAGGTAGGATAGAGCTAATTTTTCTTCCTAGTATCTAGTATCCTGCTGTGCTTTGGATTCAGTATGGGATGACACATGCACACCACCAGAAGTGGTCTTTTTCTGTTTGTTCATGACCTGGAGGGAGAAAACAAGGCAGTTGCCAGTTTTAGTCTGCTGCTGTATGTTACAGCAGCACTAGAAAAAAATGTTTGCACTCACTCGAGAGCCTGTTTAGTCTGAGCGCCAAGGTACAAGCATAAGACTCAGATGCAAAGTACAAGAGACAGGCATGTCAGGCTGATTCTTAACACCCTCAGATTTCAGAGACTAGGCACCTCTTCAGGCCAAGTAACTTGTCTCTAAAAGTTTAGTAGCTAGGAAAATCAAAGAAATGGCACCCTCTTGTGGTACCGCTGCTTTTAATGAAGTGTTCATATTTTCCCAATACACCATTCTATGAACAAAGAGGTTGTAAAAAATACCCATTATTAAATAGATATATGCTCAGTTTGAAAAAACTGAAACTACATCATGACACTATACAGTGATGGGAAAGCAGCTGCATCCTGTCAGAAACCAATGTGATCAGACCTTCAAATAAAAAAATAAAAATTTTGCAGCATTTTAAAGTTTGATTTCCAAAAGGGCTAGACTCTAATTCTCATATCCGCTTGCAAGCAGTTATAGCATGCTCACAAAGTGGCTGGCACTAACAGAAAATTGTACTCAACACTTAAAAATCATTCTCTCTTAGGGAAGTCTATGTAAACACCTTGGGCTTTGAAAGTCTTTTCTAAACAAAACAGTATGTTCCTACTTAGAGGCAGTTCATGATTCTTCAGATTAGGTCAGTGTATTTCTCACTCTTTGCTCCCATGACAGGAGTATTTTCTTCCCTTAACCTTTTAATATATTTGCCCTTTACTTAAAGCAAAACAGTACAAATGATGCTGAAAGGACAACAACCCAACCGTTTAAATTAACATGCCATTAATCACCTGAGAACAGGTGGTTTTCACTAACCAGAGTTCAGTACCTTAGTCTGTTATGTCCTAATAGATTGTGCTTGAAGGCTGTAATTCCCACTTACATCCTTCCCTTAAAACACCTCTGTACTTTCACTGTTCTAGCCTTCACATTAACTAGAAATTATCAGGACCAAAAACTAGTCATGTTTTGCAGACCTCGTGTTCATTAAAAACTTCTGTTTCCAAGGGCAGCTGGCAGTATGAGTATGAACACAGTAAGATGTTAAACATACACGTTTTATCAGAGTGCTGATCTGAAGATAATGCCAAGCATCTGCATTTCTCTCACAATCTCAGAAGAGGAGGGAGTTTGCCTCCACCTTGCTCCATCTTGAAGGGGACAGATAAGAGCCAAAAAAGATTGCAGAATATGTCCCTCCCAATAAACAAGTAGAAACCAAGAAACCATTACTTTCACTGGAAAGTGCGGGTGAAATTTTCGGAATACAACTTCTTATGGCTTTCTTTCCGTCTAAACTCTTACTGCTTGCTTTTTCTTTGGAAAAGGAAGGTTGCAAGACTCCCAGGAAACTTTTCATTGGCTCCATCTGATACTTGATTTATTTTCCCCAACACAGAACCACAGGCTTTTGTAATTAGCTGGACAGAACCGTTGCAATTTGCTCTTTCTTAAGTTTCTGTCACAGTGCCACATACCTGAACTTCACAATGCTAAATCTACAGGGGTTTGCAAGGAGTGGTTAGCTTTTGCCCCTCTAACAGGGAAAGCCTGCTTGGTTTCTGCAGACCTGTTCACATGCAGCTGCAGGAATGCACAAATTGCTGAAAAAGAATACTGGACATGAATTTCACAGTGCTGTCTGTGGACCCCAGCTCCAGTTTGAGACAGTTCCAGATACTGCATAGGGGGTTGTCAATCAGTTGTCCATTACCTGCTATGCTGAAACACAACAAAGCATTACTTCACTTATACCTATGCATCACAAATTAAAAGATTAAGATGTCAGTTATCCAAATGCTAATCCCATACAACCATGCTCTGATTTTAGTGAGGCTGTGCATGTGTATAGTGAAAGGAAAAGTTTGCAGAACAGTCCCTGTACTTGTTTAATTTACCTGCCCAAACACAATCCTACATTTACTTACTTAACACTACATTAGGGATGTTGTATTCAGGTTAGTTGGGCAGATTATTTATATTTAGCTCAGCTTATTTGGATGCAAGTTTTCTGTCCATATTCTGAAATACATCTAGCAAAGGCAGCAAAAACTAAGGAGGAAACATCTGGAGTTAGAAATTACTGTCACAAGCACAAGTTATGTATGACATCTACACCTCTGAAGAGTTTGTGCTAAGCAGTTTGTAACATGCTGTATAAATACTGTACCTTCTACAGCATGAGTATTTTGCAATGCTACAATGAGGAAGTAACTGAAATGTTAGATCCCAATAGCAGTATCCATTCATATATGAAACACAGGAAGGACAGACACAACTCAGCTCTAAATTGAGGTGGTTATTTTATTATGCAGGCACTGAACCAAGAATTAGGCAGACCACATATGTTACAAAACTAGCCATCCTGCTTGTCACATTGCCAATAGTACTGTAACAGCATTTGATTTGACTGTATGCATTTTAAATCTTTTAAATGGCATCTCTCAGTTCACACTACCATGGCTTTCAGCTTTTTTCTTTTTGCAGCCGTTACTTTCTCTAGCAGTAGTTTGATGATCAGGTAAGGCAGTTTTGTGGGCAATCCTATCAGATCATTTGGTCCAATGTAGAAGAAGAGAAGAAAGTAGGAAAATAGAGACAAGCCTCAGACACACATGCTATCCTTCTGGCCCAAAGTGCAAGCAGCAGATTTCACACACAAGTTACAAATGTGCTCACATTGCTTCTGGAAAAAGAGGTAGGTGATATTTCTGAAGAAATAATTTTAAAAAGGGGCAGGAAATGGGGCAATGGGGAGCCATGAACAGGAACATTTTAATATGCTATTAAACCAGCAAGTGTGATCTTTCTTTTGTTGTTAACAATGTAATAAAGTCTACCCTACCTATAAGCTTTGTTCTACTTACTGTGTTTTCTGACAAAACTAAAAATGCCTGCTATGCAAAAGGTGGCTCAGTATTTTACCACTGCTTACAAGAAAGTACCTGCTGTTACTAGTTGACAATAGTTACTCATTATGGGAATACAATGGAAGATTGGCATGGAGGATTGTAAGCATACTCAAATGACTTGCAGCTGGGGTGCCAAAAAATACATATATCACACTAATTGTTTAGCTCTGTGTGCTTGACAGGTAGAATGCCTGAACTTAGGTAACACAGGCCTGTGAGAAACTCAGAGGCACCTTATCAAACATCAAGATTCCTGACCTGCTGTGTGAAAGATCAAAGCACCATGGAAAGGTAGGCCTGCAAAAATCCCCCGATCTATACAAAAGCAGCAGACCCAAGATCTTTTCTTTCTTCTCCTTTTCCTGACCAGCAAGGACCAAGAAGCATGGTGCCTGTGTCCCTGCTTGCATGCCTCTGCCCACAGGTGCTGCTGTGGAGATTCCCTAGATGTGCTTGTTCCTGCATCCTGCCTGTGCCAGCTCACAAATTGGTAAGTATCAACTGTACTTCAAGAAGGAAACTTAGCTCAAGGGCTTATTGTACAATTTAGGTCAAATTTCATCTCTTGTTGAACTGCAATAAAATTTGACTTCAAATGTAGTGCCTTTTAGTTGGTAACGTGCAAGTGAAAAACAGGTGAACAGAACACTGTCTCAAGGAAGTATTCATGCTAGTTTAATTGGTTTAGAGTCTTGGTAAAACTTGATAAAAATTCTTCCCTTCCCCATCTCACCCTTTCATTTGACAGCAGCCTTTTGGGATGTTACAAATCATATTCTCAGAAGAACCTGACTTCTGAATAATGTCTTTTTTTAAAACAAGGTCCCAGTAAGGCAAACTACAAAGTCAAGTTGTTACTTTGAAGAACCTAATAAACAGTCATTGTCAAAATACTGTACGTATTTTAAAAGGTTTTGATTACATTACGTTCATCTTACAAATAGATTCTATTTTAATTTATTTATGTTTATTTAACACACCATGCCACTCCATCTATGAGACCTTGATGCAAAGGCTGAGACTGCCAACCAGAGATCTTTAACTTTTCCCACTATCATGCATCAACAGCATTTGATCAATTTACTTACTGGCAGAGAAAGAGACAAGATTACTGGAAAGTAAGTGAAATTTCTCTTCTGTGGTAAGAATACAATGCAGTTATGCCAACATTACTGTATACATGACTTTGTCAAAAAATTTTAAAATTTAACTACATCCTGAAGTGTGCTCAACTTCTTGCTTGATACTGCATTATAGTTTTGCTTCAAACATTAACAACTTTGTGTTAAAACGGGTGATTTTAAACAATTTGCAAGCAATGACTTTAAGAGCAAACTGAATTTATACTTGTCCCATCGTAAAAAAAAAAAGAAGATTCTAAGTAATGTAAAATAATGTAATTTTACAATAATGTAAAAGCAATATAGGAATTCACTAAGCATTTTCACAACTACACTGACATGGAAGACTAATAAAAAGCAGATGCTACTCAGTAATAAACACAGTGGCATCTTTTATTCTGCTACCCCTAATTTATCTGAGCTAGTAGTCTTCAGCATTATATGCCTCTTACTCTTTTTCCCCCACCTCACACTCCAAGAGTTCTTACTGATCTTAGCCCAAAGCTGGTGAATATGCACAGACCTTACACTCAAATGCCAACTCTTAAGCTAGTCAGTCATCTTGTATTCTAGGTAATTAACTGCAAACACACTGAGACAAGACACTTAAAGATTTTTAAATTCATTTATTACCTGTGCACAAGAGAAGTAACTACCAATCAAAACTCAAAAGATATACAGTATATTTTTACATGGTGGCATAAAGTAGTTAGGATATCACATGGTCATGAATGAAACAAATGTTTCCAATTACAAATCAGAATACATGTTAGAACCTCAATGGAACAAGCCAAAAAAGCCTCAGAAGCAGTTCCAGAGCACAGAGCAGTGCCCCCTGAATTTGAACAATACTAAAGGTAATTTACCATTAATCTTTGTGAATATTGAGACAATGTTACAATGCAAATTTTTGTACAGTTAGATGTAAGGAGATAACCAGAACAATAATTCTAGTATATTTTAACTGAAGTTGCTTAAGCATTTTTGCTGATGGTTACCAAAGATGCTGGAAGATTCTACACCAAAACCAGGTCTTAAAACTCCCCCCGCCTCCCCCCC